CGTTGCACCTGGAATATAAATAAAAGTCTTTAATACCACGAAAACGTTTCGTAAAAATGGGAATTATTCATATATAAACATGTCGAAAAATAAAAACTTACGCCCATTTTCACTGTTTTTTTAAAGTTTCATTACATGGTAATAAAAACTGACATAAAGAGGCAAAGTGTACGAAGGTTCGCGCATTGCCGGTAAATAAGAAAGATAGTGTCTCGAAGAAAAGATTTTGTAAGTAACAAAAACAGTATGGTTGGCACATTTTATTTCACACCGCTAAGTTGAATACGACTTTAAATACTCTAGGAACCTGACGGTTCTACCTGACCGTATTTTCTGTTGCGCCGATGGCTGTTGCAACTGTGCACTACCAGGCATATCATCAAAAATTTCGATAGTTGAGCTATCCGTCAGCCGGCTGTAGCCAGCTGAAACGTCACTTACAATGGGGTTGCCTTCGAAATAAGCTGTTTTCAAACGGTCGATACTGACAGTATCTTCACGTCCGTCTCTCTCAATTATATAGAATTTCTCGCGTCGCTTAATCACTTTGAACGGCCCGTCGTAGGGTGGTTCAAGTGGTCGACGAACGGCGTCGTGGCGAACAAACACGTGTGATGTCTTCTGTAAACTGGGGTGAACGAAAACATCAGTCGTTTGCGGTCTAATCGGAGAAGGCCTAACTGAACGCATTGCGTTTGTAAGCCTAGTCACGTAAGATGCCCTGTCGGAAACATGTTTGAAAGTTGAAGGGGAAACAAACTCACCTGGTAGGCGAAGAGTGGTCCCATAGACGAGTTCTGCAGGGGTGCATCCAGCATCAACTTTCAACGCGTTACGAATACCTAGTAGGACTAGAGGCAGAGCCTCGGTCCACTGAGGTATGTTTGTAGCTGAAAGGGAAGCTTTCAGCTGTCGATGGAAACGCTCTACCATGCCATTTGCTTGTGGATGGTAGGCTGTCGTTCGGAACCGAGTGCAACCTAAAAGTGCCGTTAGAGCGTGAAATAATCCACACTCAAATTGGCGCCCACGGTCGGTTGTGACGTAGATGGACATCCGAAGTTCGCGATCCATCTTTCGACGAAAACACGAGCAACTGTTTCGGCAGTAATATCCTTAATAGGTACTGCTTCCGGCCATCGTGTGAAACGATCAACACAGTGAAAAGGTAGGTACATCCATTAGATTCTGGTAGGGGTCCTACAATATCTATATGGACGTGGTCGAAACGCATGTCTGGGGCTAGAAATGAGCCTAAAGGGCTTTTCGTGTGTCGCGTGACTTTACACTTTTGACAAGCTAAGCACGACTGAGCCCACTCCTTAACGTCTTTGTTCATCCCAGGCCAGCAGAAACGTTGTGCGATAAGCCTAATGGTGGCTCGTACACCTGGATGAGAGAGTTTGTGCAACGTATTGAAGACGTTGCGTCGACAACTCTTCGGAACTATTGGGCGTGGTTGACTAGCAGAGACATCGCACAAAATTGTATCCTTGTCTGATCCAACAGGACAAAGTCACAGCTTGAGAGTTGTGGACGACAACTCATGATGCAGCTCAAGGTCTTCCTTTTGACGCCGAGCTAGTTCAACGAGATCAACACCCCCGATATAGTTTATCGAAGCTATTCGAGATAGTGCGTCGGCTGCGGAGTTGTTTGCTCCAGAAATGTGGCGGATGTCTGACGTGAACTGGGAAATGTAATCCAGCTGTCGCGACTCACGAGGGAGTATTTGTCAGACGCCGAGCTGAGGGAAAACGTTAACGGTTTGTGGTCTGTGAAAATAATGAAATCACGACCTTCCACAGAATGTCGAAAATGGCGTACAGAACAGTACATGGCTAGGAGTTCCCTACCAAATGTACTGTATCTTGTTTCCGCGTCTTGCAGCCGCCTCGAGAAAAAGGCTAACGGTTGCCACTGGTTGTCAGTCAACTGTTGCAAAACTGCTCCAATTGCTGAATCAGATGCATCAACAGCAATACTCAAAGGAGCATTGGGGTCATGATGCATAAGCATGGTTGCGTTCGAAATGGCTTCCTTGACTTTAGAAAAAGCAAGTCTAGCCGCGTTGTCCAGAGACACGAACTTCGCAGTTCCTCGAAGTAGATCTGTTAGTGGTCTCATGACAGAGGCACAGTTAGGGATAAACCTTCGGTAATAACTTACCAGGCCATTGAAAGTGCGGAGATGTTTCACAGTGGTCGGCTCTGGATAGTTTGTGATAGCCGCCACTTTATCTCTCAATGGGCGTATACCTTTGTTGTCAATGGTATGCCCAAGGAAGCTGAGTGATTCAACTCCTATTTCACACTTCTGTAAGTTGACTGTGATGCCATGTTTTTTAAGTCTTTCGAATGCGAGGTCCAAATGTTTAAGGTGAGTTTCCTTATCTGGACTCGCAATTAGACAGTCATCGATGTAGACATGAACAAAATTCAAATCACGGAAGACATCGTCCATAAAGCGTTGGAATGTTTGTGCTGCATTCCGAAGACCAAATGGCATGCGCAGGAATTCAAACAGGCCAAAAGGAGTAATAATGGCTGTTTTCGCGATATCTTCTGCTGCCATAGGTATCTGGTTGTACGCTTTGACCAAGTCGATTTTGGAGAAAATGTTCATTCCGCATAAGGTTGCAGTCAAATCGTAAACGTGAGGTATCGGGTAGCAGTCCGGAGTTGTTTTGGCGTTAAGCCTTCGGTAATCACCGGTTGGACGCCAGTCGTTGCTATCCTTTTTGGGGACCATGTGCAATGGCGATGCCCAAGGACTGTTTGACGGTCTGATAATGCCCAGTTCGGGCATGTGGTCGAATTCACTTTACGCCGTTTTGAGCTTATCGGGGGCTAGACGACGCGCTCAAGTGGACCTGTGGTTGTGACGTGATGCATAACATTGCTGGTTATGCACGGAAGAGTGTGCTTCGGTTGCTGCAACTCCGGATGTTTCTCCAGAACTGCTTGGTAGGACGCGTCGCCTGATTGTTTGGTTCTAACGATGGCTAAACTCGGACCTACATAGGTGGTGCCGCCAATAGATAACCTTGTGTTGTTATCTATGAGACGTCGACGGCGAGCATCTACGAGTAGATCGTAATGGTTTAGGAAGCCCATGCCAATGATGGGCATAGAGACGTCAGCAAGGAGGAGAATCCAGTGGATAGGTCTACGTAAATCTAAGTCGAGGTGGGCATTCTGTCTCCCGAATGTAGCGATTGCCTTGCCGTTGGCTGCTTGGAGATTGAAGGATGGGTCGTGATGACGCTGCTTTGTTGGTGCGGGAAGGACGCTAACTTCTGCACCGTTGTCGACGAGGTAGCGGACTTTCATTTTAACGTCGGTGACGTAGAGCAAACGGCCGTTTCCGCCGGCTACGGTTGCGTGAACACGTGCCGGCATGACCGTTTCCCGAGTCTGTGTCCTTGATGAAACTGCATGGTTCCCGACATTTTCTGTCTTCGTCTCCGAAAGCATTATGAAACCAGCACCATTTAGTGTTTCCCACTCTGTTAGGTTTAGTTTTGGGGCAACCGCGTGAGTTGCTGTGATGCACTAAGATGCGTTTCTGTGGCGTTCTACGTGAACTAAAACTTCAAGTTCGTGACAACTGTTTAACACAGTTGCACAGCTTGGTCACCTCTGAATCCTGGCGCTCTGGTTTGTCGCGGACAGAATATACGTTGGAGATGGGTCTGCTGGAAATCTCCAGTATTTTATCTGTCGAGGCTGCCAGGTCATCGAGTGGGACTGACTGCAGTGTCACCAACACGGTTTGCACCGGTTGTGGTATTTTTGACAGAAATAGTTCTCGGAAAAGGCCATCGTCGAATGTTCATGCACCCATAACTTCTCGCATGCGTGTGAGGGCTTCATTAGCTGAGTGGCTGCCTAGCTCGACGTTACGAAGTAATTCGTCTAGACGCTGGCGATCTGTGAGATCGCTTTTCTTCAACAGTGCGGCCTTGAGAATTGCATAATGATCACTTACTTCAGGACTAAACATGTGTGCTGTAACGTACCTGTTCAGTTCTCTCGCTAGTGACTGTATGACACCAAGAAATCGAGAAAGAGGATCTGAGACGCCGTGTTCTCGAAAATCTGCCTCGGCATACAGAAACCACGTTTCCGCATTGTCTGGCCAATATGGCACTAGTTGGACCGTGTTCGTAGTTGGCTTAGTACGAATAAGCTTGGGAGTATGGTCGGACATGAGAAAGTGTAGTAAATGGATATATAAAATGAATTAAGCTCACTAATTCAATATTTGTTATTGGTCGGGATATGTGATCACATCGAGCTCACCAATTTAGGATTTGTCCTGGTGCGAACTTGACAGACGCAAAGACCAATCACCAGTTATTCGGACTTGTTATATACCCACGAATACGAGACCAAGGAAGATCGCGATAGCATAGTCGGACGGAATAGTATATTTAGATGGTTGTGCCAAAATACCGATGCGTTCCAACTAACTGGATAGAGAGTCGAATACGAGCAGTGCAACGTAACACGACAGCGTGCCAAATGGCGAGGATGCTTGACCGGGTGTCTTCAGCATAACCAGCCTAGTTAAACTCTCAAGGTCAGCATCAATGTCGAAAGTTGTCAAACCCTAGGCTATTGACTTTGGGGAAGTGTGTGACGCTACAACTCTTCCCTCATTATTTACCCGCCCTGTTTCACTACTTTTAAAACTTACTTGCAGAGACACACAGCAACAGTAGTTGCGGAATGATAGTTTATCTTGTCAATGGCTTCTCTGCAGTCCAAAACAAACTAGCCTACACTTTGAGAAAAACACTTTGAAACAGTCTATCCCTACTTCCAAAGTCATCAGCTAAACTGAAAAGACTTCTGTATCAACCAAAGAAGAACGACCAAAAGGGCAAAGATCCTTGAGATCTAAAAGCGAGAGTCCATAAAACAAAAGTTTCCTTTACTCCTAATATTGGTGTAGAAGATTGTTTAATTGTATTGCAATGTGAAATTTCTGCGGATGCGGGGATTTCGAAATTCGGGTGTAACGGTAGCCCTGACGTGTTTTTCTAAAGGTTTTCATCTTCCCTATGTATAATAAGATCCTCAAAGCAGCATGCTTTATTTTTTCTGGTTGCACATTTGCTACGTGCCTACTGTTTTTTAGTGTGACTACCAGTAACCTAATGTGGCTAATAACAAAATATTGTTTTCGATCACTTCTATCGAGGGTTTTATCGATCATAATTAAGCTTCTGTATCTTAAATTGGTTAAGCATGAGTTCGTCTGTTTGTTGAGTTATTGGTAGAGCTAGTAAAAGGGAGAAAACCTATAGGTGATAGTGGCCTGGTTTACTCATAGCTTTCATATTTTGTCGTGAGTACTTCATCATCAGGCTTAATGACATCTTCAGCACTAACTTCACGAAGATGTGATGCACGTACTCCACCACAGCGCAACTCCATCGCGATGGCCATTTGTATCCTACCAACGACGATTTGTTTCGTTATTTTTTTCTGTATCCTTTTAAAGGGCTATAGAGCCAAGTCAACTGAAGTTCCGGTGACATTCGTTTCCAGTACGGCGCAACTCTGTTCTACAGACCTACTGAAACCAGATAACGGCATTATCGCTTGCAAAACAGAGGTTATCCACCACTCATTTTTGAGGACGTTCCAGGCTAGAGGGGACTTGATTATTTTCATTGACTGGCTGACCCCACGTTTTCGGTCCATCGAAGTGCTTCAACAAGGTTAGACAATCAAGCTTCAATGGAGTCATGGCTTGAGCTGCATATATGGTCTACGAAATTGGCTTTCGGAAGATTAGAATCCTAAAGTCTAGGTTTGTGTGTGACCTAGTTTCAAAGACTAGCCATTCGCTTCTGGCACACAACTGATGTAATGACAATCTGTAGTTGACTTCCTGTATATCACCTTTTATCCTCTTAGGTACTTTTACGGAACACTGCTTATTTTTTAGGTAGTCGAATTCTTGGTTATGAACTTGGTGAACTGCAAGAGAAGTAACTTAGCTTCGCAACCTTTCCGATTAGTCCTGTCGTTGTAGAACAATACGATGTTCGGAACAGCAACTTTTTAATCTGACACTTGAGGAGAGATATATCTTGGTAATACTAATAAGCTAACTATTAAACAGTACTTAAGCCACTGGCTCATCCATTGTCAAGAAACTTGATGCATTTGTTCAGATAGTTAATACTGTCTACTTAGAACGCAGTTATTGGTATTTTCGTGGTGTATGCTGTGTTGTGTCAAAGGTAAAAACTATGTACTGAGAGCTGGCTTCATTTTAACCCGCAGGTGGATAGACCCTCGTCACCTCTTTTTTGGCAGTAGGCAATCCACTAACGAAACAGCTAGTTCCCGATTGTTTTGGTTTCTTTGGAGCCGCAAATCTTGCAGCCTAAATAGATAAGTTATGTTGCAGGTGGCAGACAATGTTTTCTGACCCGAAAAACTTCCAATGTACCTGCGACCTTCAAGGCAGATGGGACGACTAATTTGATTATCTTAGATCTGGACCTCTCATCTTTTTTATTTGTACATGGCAGCTTTTATGTGACTACGCCTCTAAGGTTGATACACGACTTTAAAAATTTCCACTCATTCTCGTTATGATGAAATCTCACCGTGTTTTCAGGAACTGCAACTATCAGAGGATTAGTAACTAACGCTATAGTAGCTTGACACTTCAGTTTACAACAGTCCAACAGAATGTTCGTACGCATCTAAAAATGTAGTCGATTATGAAAAGATTTTTAAACACGGAACGACTAAGAGTTTCCCCACTTCACTGTTTCTGTCAGTCAGTACAATGGGTCCCACCATTTGAGAAATTATTGCTTTGGTCTATCGGAACTATACTGCAGAGCGGGACAGACTTTTCAAATTAGAAACAAATATATATAGGTCTGACTTGGTGGCTATCGGTTCTCAATTTACGTGTATTTAAGCAGAGCTGCTTATTACCTTAGGTGACTTGGCACACTTTGAGGTTGAGTTGAACTGACTGGCTGACTTCATCGAGTGTGAATTGCAGAGGAGTGTTCACATCCTGCCAAACATAGCTAGCTTCCGAATCTATGTGTTCCAGGGCCCGTCAAAGGGTCAAGACATTTAATGTTGGGGAGTTTCAATGACACTCGTTGAAGAGTCGGTTCAGTTGGGTTTTACAAGCATACTGAAAGTCGAGAAACTATATCATCACTCCTGGCTGAGGAAGAGAGGATTATGAGGTTATGTATCACAAATTCTTCACTTTGGAGATACTTTCTAAGCAAGATTGGGTTCAGGTTTCCCTCCACATTACTGATCTCACATTTTTCGTTTGTCTTAGTTCTTCATATGGGTTGATAAGTCAGGTTCCGATGAATTGATTCCTCCCACTGCATTTATGACCTATGAAAGTATTTTTTTGGTTGTTGTCTAGAAGTAGGATGTGTATATACTATAATCTGGAAGAGTTATTTGTTGTAGCTGTTGTTCTGACAATCTGCAGATGGCTTCTTATATATTAATCCCACCAAACACTTAGTATTCTGAGAAAGCCGTATAGAATCGATGAATTTCTTCAAGACTGTCAACTTCGTAACTACCAATTTGGTGGGATGTAAGAGAAAAACCTAAGTATTAAATTAACCTCCTTTCCGGTCACCCTATCTTTGTAAGACCGCCTGGTGTTGTCACCTGCCAGTGTGTGGTGTGAAATTTAAGAGAAACCTGTTTCAGGGACACCTATAAGATGCGTATTGGTATCGTCACTTGGTTCCCGTAGCTCACCCGACCGATAGCTGCTACCTTGACGTGGTGGTCGGGCTTGCATATCACAATGACCCAACGAGCTATGCTGGTGGAACGCTTGTTCCCTCGAGGTCCTACCATACCAGAAAGGTCTGTTGGGTAGTGGTTAGACGAAAAGCAGTTACCGTTATAGTGTAAATTGCTACACTATGATGGGGGTCTGAGGGCGAAGTCGTACTGCTGCTAGCTGGATGGGGTGTGACAGCAGTAAGGTGTTTCCCTTGGATGACCAGCAGTGCCAAGCTGATGCTGCCTTCTCAGTGGAAGGGGGGGTTAGAAAAGGTCGGCCCCAAAAATAACACACTCCACCACGCCCCACGGTCTGCCGGGCCGGCGGTGTTGGTTCACTTGTCGTTTCCTTTCGACCATCCGGCCCCAAAAATACAAAAATTCAAAATAATCATACTCAAAAGGCTGGGTGTGACAGGCCTCAAGCAGATGTCCGATGGGCTCTGCGGTCACACAAATCTCTTTCAGGTACCTTAAGAAGAAATAGCCTTCCACGGTGTGGGCAGCCGGGAAGTGTCAACCGCCCTCACAACTCTGTCAGCACCCAAGTTTCTTCTGACTGCTATCCTCCTCCTCCATCATTACCTTCTAATCTTCCTTCACGTCTCTTAATTAATGATGCTGCATCATCTTCAATTTCTCCTACCTCTGCAGCCTTCGACAACGATCTGAGTCCACAGAACAGCATCCCTGGTCTCCTTAAACCACGCTCCAAATTACATATTGGAGCCTTCAATGTCCGCACCCTCCGTCAAATTGGCCAACAGGCTTCGTTGGCAAAGACTCTAGCAACTCGGGCATGGATGTGTGCTGTGTTTGTGAGACACGCATACAGGACCCAAGTGTGGTTATTCACCTGACCTCTCCTGACCAATCTGGTGAATCTGCAAAATTCACCCTTCGAGTTTCTGGAGATTCGATAGCTAGCTCTCGTGGTCTTGCAGGTGTAGGTATAGCATTAAGCACCAGGGCAGAAAACTCACTACTAGACTGGATCCCAGTTGATAGTCGCCTCTGCGCTATGAGGCTGAACGGCACAGTGAGAACTAAAAGGAATAGTGAGACTCGCCGTTGTCTCTTTGTAATCTCTGCTTACGCACCCACTGACTGTAGTTCGGATGAAGTGAAGGACGAGTTCTACCATAAACTGTCTAACCTCCTCTCGAAAGCCAAACGTTCGGACGTAGTGGTTGTTGCAGGTGACCTCAACGCACAGGTGGGTAGACTGAGTGAGGCAGAAAGGCACTTAGGTGGCACTTTCGGAATCCCAGCTGAACGTACAGATAACGGTGATCGCCTATTACAACTATGCTCAGATAACCGCCTATTTTTAGCCAGCACAAATTTCAGACATAAAGAAAGGCACTGTCTGACCTGGCGTCCACCGAGCTCGACTCAGCGATGGACACAGATAGACCACATTGCTATTAGTCATCGCTGGAGAGGATCGGTGGAAGACTGCCGCTCCTTCTGGAGTACGTGTTTGGACAGCGATCATGCGTTGGTCCGAGCACGTATATGCCTGCGTCTCAATGGACGTAGAAAAAATTTGGCAACAAAACCACTACGAGTTCTGCTGGACAACGAAAACACCAAAGCCGTGTTCAGTGAGAAGTTGGCTAGGCAGTTATCGGAACAAAAGACTGTCACTCATCCAGAAGAAGCTTGGTGCCATCTTCAGTCTACTGTAAAAGCAGCACTGGAGACTGTAGCCGACTCCAAGATAATGGCTAAAAAGAGCCAGTGGATATCAGCAGCTTCTTCCAAACTAATGGATGCACGTGAATGCATCCCTGCAGGCTCTGAGTACAATGAAGAGCGAGCGCAACTTAAAAATAAACTGACGAAAAGTCTGCGCAACGATCGTGAACAGTGGTGGGCAGCAAAGGCTAAAGAGATGGAAAAGGCAGCGGCGATCGGTAACAGTAGACAGTTATTTAGACTTATTAAGGAGACTGGGGGGAAATGGTCAACAACAGTTAGTGAGGTTATAGCGGAGAAGGACGGATCGGCGATTCACTCGCAGGGAAGGCGACTGGGACGATGGGCAGAACACTTTGAGGAACAGTTTAACTGGCCTCCAGCCACCATTGCGCTGCCCGCTATCCAGTCGGACCCTGAATGGGACATAGAGACAGGTCCCCCAACACTAGAAGAAGTTGAGAAAGCGGTAGGTAGCCTGAAACGGGGAAGGGCAGCAGGACCAGACGGACTACC